ACACACACACACACATATACATACACACACATATACATACACACACATATACATACACACACATATACATACACACACATATACATACACACACATATACATACACACACACACACACACACACACACACACACATATATATACACACATACATAAAAAAATAGTTTTCTTGCACAAGTAAAGAAAAGCTGCTTTGGAATCTATTTTTATTCCTTGAATGAATTTGTATTTTATTCACTTGCAGTTCGTATATGCCATGTGAAATTATAGACTGTGCATAAGAAGTGGACGTAGTCAAAGTGATGCCACCTTCGCCGTCTTCGGCATTGGCTTCACCTTTGAGACCCGGGGGCTGCCGTCTGGTCTGCAGACATTGATTTGTACTCTCCTGCACAAGTTGTGGGCAAACATTGGATGTGTTGGTGGAGGAGTGCAATATTAGTGTGAGTGACCGATGATGTACTGTACTGGACCAAAAGGAGACATTCTACAGAACCAGGTTACATTTGGTTTTAAAATACAATAAAAAAGGTATCACAAAGATATCAAATAGAGAAAAGCAGGCAACTCTTTGCATTTGTTATCATTGTGGGTTTAGTATTTGTAACATCTACATATTTAAAACAGTTTATCAACCAAAAACAAGCATCTAAAAAAACTCACTCATCAGGTTTTAGCTCTCCATGTTGTAGTTTGTGCTGCCCGATAACAACAGGGTGTTTTACATAATGGTTCTACTGTGAGGATTGCAACTTGAAAAGTGGATTGCTAATGAAGTTAGTAAAATCATAATACTTTCAAAAATAATAAAAACCAACAGCAGCTTCACATGCATGTGAGGGTGTTTGACAGGACATGAGAAGTGGAGTGAAGAAATATCTCTGACATGCATTAAAACAGAGACAGCGATGCCTACTGACCTTACAGCTGAAATATTTACCGTTTAAACAATTAGCCGTTCATTATAATAATAATAATAATAATAATAACAGTGATGCATCACTTTCACAAAACAACAGGCACTCTAGTCAATGCTAAAGTTGTACTGCCCCCTGCTGACTGATGAGTGGAACTCCCTGCTGTCGTTTGACCAGAAGAAGAAAATAATCTACTGATCAAACAACTAAAAAGATTTCTAATCATGGAGCTCCATGGCAGGAAAAGGTTATCAGACAAGGTGAAAACACAACTAAATATTATCGATAGTTTCAAAGTACTCAAAATTGAGTTTTTGCCTTTCAGATGAAGACAGAAAAAGTTGATGGGAGAGAGATAGGAGTGTGACATGCAACAGAGGGCTTCCATAGACAGCATTGAACATTGTATGACTCTGTGATCACAGCATATGTACGACAGGCATGTCAACCCTTCAGCCCCCACGATGCCCCGGTGGCCTGAAGCTCGGACCAGTCGGCTCACCTTCTTGACCTTGGCCTGCTCCTTCCCAGACTCCTTCTCTGCCTTCTTGGACAGTCTCTCGAGCTGCTTGGAGGTGAACTGTGAACCCCAGAGAAAGAAGTACAGGAAATGAGTAAATAATACGCAAGTTGTAACACGCTTGATATGGATTAAACCTTCTCAGAGATACATACCTTTAGCTGGAAGAGTGTGTCTGTGGGGACAGTGAGAGAGTTATGCACTGTATATAATGTTGACTGGCAAAGGATTGTCTTTTACATAGCAATATACTAACTCTTACATTACTAAAACATTAGCTTTTCATTCTCTGAGATTGATTGTAAGAAGTTGTCCACACTGTTTTCTTTGCTTTAAGAACCGATGTGAGGGTCCCGGGACAGAGGATGTCCTACGTGTACGGATTGTAAAGCCCCTCCGAGGCAAATTTCTGATTTTGGGCTATAAAAAATAAAATAAATTGAATTTAAGGTGGGCACATTTTCACTTGAAAAAATACAACAATTATGACAACAAATATTCTCCAAAATCTGCTAGATTTACACAGCCTAAAACCCTCAAAATTGTTGTACAATAAATCATAAAGGCGGAAATCCCGTCACAAAATACAAACAGCACAGGAAAAAGTCAGTTAATTGATTATATTATAAAGTATTCCGTTTCTGCATGGGGCTGTTACGGTTATCCAATAAAACATTATTCACTGCAAATATATTATTTTATTTTTATATTGTTACAACCAATACAACAATGTATATTAAATACAACCTTCTCACCAGGATTCAATAAGCTACTGTATATTTCAGTTTTAAGTCTTAATGATTTTATACAAACTTAAAGAAGTGTCTACGTTTGTCGAAGCTACACTAATCAAATTTGAAAAGGAGTGTGACATTCCTAATGTAACAGTAATTTGTTAGGAAATGATTCACTGACATCGTTAAGATGAGATGTTAAATCAAACCAAATGCCAAAATAATAGTCAGGCTGGCAACTACAGTTAGATAATGATACAAATAACCTTCTAATCATAACAGGTCTGACAGCTAACACAGCTAACCTAGCTAACCTAGCTAACCAGACACCCAAGCTAACAAGCTAATGTTAGCTATCTGTCATTAGATTGGTGGTATAGCTAAAAACAGAGGCAAAGTCTATCAAAATGGACTGTTCAGCGATTAAAACACCACATACCATCCATGGCGAGACGAATACGATTCTAGGGGATCACAGGAAAAATATTTTCCGGCTTCCCAAGTCTCGTTTTGGTTTGTTTTGATAAGGCGGTGGATCCGACTTCCTGGTCCTAGAGTAGTCACGTGATTTGAATTCCTCTCGTCTTCGTTCTTCTTCTTCTCCTTTATGTTTTTTGGCGGTTGGCAAGCAACGAAGTGGTGCAGTACCGCCACCAAGTAGCGTGGAGTGTGGAAAAAACCTTTCCTGAATAGCTCTTCACAATTCTTGAACCTGAGTTGATCTTCAAATGAAAAAGCCCTAGCATGATCCACCTACAGATGAGACATACCTGAGACGCTGATAATCAATAGATGACCTTTCACCCCTAATATATTGATCTTAATTAATAATTCCTCCGTCTACATCAGGTCATAGTCCTCAATATTAACAGTAGAGACTTTCCCTATTAACTTATGCTTGTCTGATTCACAGACTGTATATAAGAAGGTCTTATTCCATATAATAAACATGACACTTCCTATAGCCTCTTTCCTCATTTGTTACATCCCGCTTCAAATGCAATACCTCCACCTTTTGTCAAATATTGCTTAAACTGTTTACCTTTCAACACTAGCAAACAGCCTCCATACATTCCAAAAATATTATCAGCAAATATTGCTATCTTTAAATATATATTCACAAAAGTATATTGTTTTGACTACGTTTGAAAGTTCATAATATTCATATGAATTATGTCTCTTACTATGTACTAGCTGTATTAATATAATGCTGTTTATAGCCCGCCATGGTCTCCAGGTTACAGGCAGCTTAGTGACAAACCGCCTTTTTTTATTCAGTGCACGTGTTGGCCGGGACCCTGACACTCAGCTGTGATTTTTTATTTTTGCCATAGCCAGCTGTCAGGTACGTCTCTGTTTGTCAAGCTGTCTCGTGGAGGAGAAAAGGTGGAGAAGATGCCCTGTAGACAAGAGGAGCTGGAGTAACCTCTAGAGAGAGAGGAGCTGCTGATGAAGAAGAAAGAATTCCTGAAGAAAAAGATTGACCTGGAGCCTCTGCTTGCCAAGAAAAACTGCAGAAATAACAGAAGAGGTGTACTCAAGGATGAACGGATTAGATTTCGGTGGTCAAAGGTCAGGGGTCACCTTAGAAAACAATTTCTTGGACATACTTAAAGAATGTGTATGCTTATTTGACCATCTACCATGTCTTTTGTTTTTTCTTCCCGCCAAAGACGAGAATGAGGAAGACGAGTTCGAAGATGATTTTGAGTACCTGCGGCGCCCACAACACACGGGATAAATGAGCAGAAATGACACGTTATTGTTCTCGAGTGTTTTACGTTTCTACGAACATGTCTTCTCCACAACGCAATATCAGCAAGAAGATAAGTTGTTATTTTAAAGAAATGTACAGGTAGTATATCAAGGCCACATATATAATATATAAAAAGTACATAAAGATGATGCATGATAAAGGAACATATCATTCAAAAATATACCCTACATATAGAAGTACTCAATAAAGACCTCTGGTAAATATACACCTGATGCAAATACATGTAAAGAAATGCATGAAAGGTGCAATATACAAGATTCAGAGCATTAATATAGCAGCAAACTGCTAGTAGCTAAATACAGATATTGTGGAGTAATGTCTACCTGAGCAGAAAATGAAGTGTGTGTTGTAATCCGAGCTTCTCCTTGCTTTTGAAACGGTAAGACAAAATAGAAATATTATAATTCAGTTTAAATCCTTTGGCATATATTTTTCTATTTTAGCAGTATATACAGTATTTTTTTTCACAACAAAACAAGAGTTTACTTCTCCTCATTTGCCTTTAAACTGCAGTGTCTCTCTGCACCCAGTGCTGTGAGCAACCGAACAGGATTAACGCCGTCACCCCGACCGAGCCGGTGACGGAGAACTGGGAGGGAGTGACTACAAAAGCAGTGGCCTCAGACATAGCACATACTTAAATGCACACTCTAGAATGTGCCGTAGCGTAGACTGGACAACATGTGAGCGCCGTGCATGTGGACATGTGAGGACTGTAAAAACAGCTGACTGAAGCTCGAATGGGGACTGGAGCAAGCCAGAAGGAATATTCAGGTATGGGGCAAAGTGACACAGGAACTCAAATGTCCTCAGTAGAATCGGTATTGCTGCTTTATGAATATGTTCAATTCTTCACAATATTCTGTTTGTGTTTATCTTAAAGGGGCAGTTCGCCCCATAAAACCAACATACATATTTTTCCTCTTACTCGTACTGCTTTTTATTTGGTTTTGATGTGAGTTTCCTAAAGTGTCTTTTGAGATGCAGATTACCACTTGTCTTTATTTTTGTAGAATGAATGCTAAACAGTTTTAGCAACAACCATGCCAACATACTTTACTATGCCTCCGCTCCCTTATCTACCACTGTGCTATTTGTAAAATTCCAGAGCAGTTGAATATATCAAGATGCTTAATTATTGTTGTTGTTGACAACAATAAATGCAAATATTGTGTAGACCCAGCGCTAACGCTCTTAAGAAATTAGCACAATCCAATCTAAAAGGTGCCAATGCTCTTCATACCAAACAGAAACACTGACCACACACACCTTAGCACACACACACACACTGCTGGAAATCCTCCATCAACAGCAGGTTTACCTCACCTGACCCGCAGGTCTTGTCCCAGACCAATGGCAGTCTTGTATCACTGTGAGGACTGAATCCACATGTAGGCTGGAGAACATATAAGTGTAGGTCATGAGTTTATTGGGTTAATTCATCCTCCCTAATGCAAGACAAATCTGTTTTAGTGGGTAACTATTATAGTAATATAATAATTGGCAACTGTGGCTCAGTGGTAGAGCAGCGTAGTCCCTAGCTCTGCTAGTTAGTTCATGTCGATGTCCTGCAAGACACTTAACCCCAAATTGCTCCCTACTGTGTGTAAATGTTGTATGAATGTTAATTAGAGCCCTGATGGCACCTTGCATGGTAGCCCCTGCTATCAGTATGAATGGGTGAATGATGACATGTAGTGTTAAAACGCTTTGAGGCTTTGGGTGGTCAGAACACTAGAAAAGTGCAATACAAGTACAGTCCATGTATTTTATGTGGTGTTAGTCAGCTTGTGTCTTCCACCTCTGATACCCCTCTCAGTTAAAGAGAGCCCCCGCCCGTCACAGTCCAACGTCGAGGCCGATTCAGCGGAGGCCAATTCAGCGGACCCCTCTCCGCGCCCACCGGCCATCATCGTCACAGCTCCGTCGCGAGAGGACATCCATGCCTCACCGCCCACCGTGACCATAGCTGACACCGCCAAAGAGCGGCGGCCGTCCTCCACACCCTTTGTGGTGGGCAAGAACCTGGTGGGCGGACAGTAACTTGACATGTCGCGCCACAGAAGGTGAAAATGGGAATCAAAAGGGTTTTTGGTTGGATCAGAGAAAGCAGCAACAGCTCTGAAAACCGTGGTGGTCCAAGTATTCAGATCCTTTAGTAGGAATAGAAATGCTTTTCCCCCTCTTCCTTTTTTAAACAGACGTGATTAAAAGTCCAGCAGAATTAGCAGTAAATTCATTGTCATATTAATATAGTGTGACAAGAGTGTTGGGATGAAGCATTATGTTGCTAGTTTGCTAATTCCACCATGCTTTCATGCTACAGTTATAACACATGTGAACTGCTGGGCTTGTTCTATGTTACTTTAACATTTAGCCAGATTTTTCCAGTTTTTAAATGATTGTTCTTGATAAACATTATCGCTAGCATGTTGATTTGTTATGATTAGATGAGTGCTGAGAAGGGTCTATTATGGTGAAAAAAAAAACTTTACAGTATAAACTCTTAAAAAACCTTTGTGAATTTGTAAGTTTACATGCAAGGCTGAGATATGTGTATGCTTGCAAGCGATTAGCATTAGCCCAAACTATGTGTATGCCAGCGATTAGCATTAGCTGATTCAGATCAGCCAATAGCAGAAATTACATTGTAATAGCTAGTTTTTAACCAGTCGCTATGCATATTTATGACACACAATGTAGAATTTAAATACTTTGCACAAAAATTGCACAACGATTTTAACCTACTTTACTTACTATTTTTTCATTACAGAAGGACTCAATATGGACTTAACAAATACCACCCACTTGTCGACATACGGACCGTTGCGGTTCAAACTCCGGGAAAGGTCTTAGTTGTCCCATCGGTGGCCCAAACCAAAACATAATGGCGGCGCCCTTGTTAACTGAGCTGCGGCCCGTCTAGTCAGAACCAAAGCGGGTCTTCTGAAGGGTTGAAAACGATCTTTAATGGAAGAATGGACGCCGTAGGAGACGACGAACCGGATCCCATAAAGCTCAAGTCTATCAAGAACAATAAAACATTCACAGTGCCTCAAAGCGATAGGGTAAGAGAATTAGCTCCGTGTGGTGGGGAGGGAGGGACGCCAAACTCCATTTAGAACTCTTATAGTTAAATGATGTCCTGGTTATCAGCAGCTATACATAACTCATAGATCACAAGTTAACACTTATCAAAACTCCACATGGCCTAGTCTGAAATTCGGCATATATTTGATACAGGAAACGTTAAATGTCATCGAAAAATCTCACTGTGTAGATGTCTTCCCCTCAATATATATTAAACACAGTCCACATACAAAACTGTGTAAAACTAATGCTAATAGCAAACAAGAACATTATCTACTACTGTAAAAGTTAAAATTGCATCTCTAGTAGGGCTTAAAAGCTATCAGCGATGGGCCAATCTTTTATATTTTTTATTAAGTCACTGTGAGTGTTGATAAGCAAAGTAGTTCTTAAAATTGCTGATTTTTAAATGGAGTTTGGCATTGTCTCCATCTAAGAGAGCCCTGCCATCTAAAAGAGCTTGTCTTTACATGACTTAATAAACTACCTGGGCTAATGAAAGCACATTGTGTCAAAGTACTTAGTTTTCAAGGTAAGATTAAGGTCTGACTGTGCACTTCACTACTTCAGTCATCGTCTCAAGCAGCAGCCAATCTAATTACTGGCTTCCACCAGCACGTAAGCCGGCACACTTTAAAGCACCCAACTCTCCACGTCATCCAGTGATTCCTTGGTGAACTCTTTTAGTGTGTCCTCTCTTCATTCAAGGTACCGTTTTAGGATTGAGTGAACTTCATTGCCAAAGTAATCACAAGTTGTCCCGGATTGGTTATCTGATTTGCATCAAAGTGTTTTTTTTTTTTTCCATTTAGGTAATGGCAATTCCTCTCTGAGCCAATTCTTCCTAGTGGCTCAAGGCGCCTGTTTTGTTTGATTAATCCCCATTAGATCCCTCTATTGATTAATTGTTGTTCATCATTTCTACTTCAACTTCACTAAATGATCACTTAAGTGGTTCTGAAAACATAAAACATGTCACATGGAGCTATCCAGAGGAATAGTGCAACTTCCAAGTGTTTATTCTGTCATATTTATCCAGGATGTAGGTATCGTTGTGTTCAAACTGCACCGTTAAATCTTCTAAACTATTACTGGAGACGAGGATGACGCATAAAGTACATTATATAACCTCTGTGTCACCTCCATCTTTTCACTCTTTTTTTCTAGTTTGGGAGCTGCAGAAGTGTTAGAGAGTTCGAGAAATTTAACCGCATCGGAGAAGGAACTTACGGCATCGTATGTAAGTCATTCGCGACCACAGATTGGTTTGACCTGGAAATTAAAGAATAGATCATCTGAACTGCTCAGTGGATAAACTGTCCCCTGTCCTTGATATAGACCGAGCTCGAGACACCAAGTCAGATGAGATTGTGGCGTTGAAGAAAGTCCGGATGGACAAAGAGAAAGATGGTGAGATAACTGCTCTCACGCGGATTCCCATGTGTTTCCTTATTCTATTATTGATATGAATTCACAGTTTGTTGACAGCTTTATTTACAGTCTAATTCCTGTTTATTCTTATTGTTTCTGTAGTTTTGTGTTAAAAATGACCTGTAAAACCTGTTGAACCTGTCGATACCCTTCTCCTTCTGTCAGGGATCCCCATCAGTAGCCTCAGGGAGATCACCCTGCTGCTGAGGCTGAGACACCCCAACATAGTGGAGCTAAAAGAAGTGGTCGTCGGCAGTCACCTGGAGAGGTAGTGGATTGTATACGCACACCACCATGATGGAACATCAGTGGATTCACTAGCAATAAAAAGAAATATTCTACATGTAACTATTCAAAATCTGTCATATTCGCGGCAGCCTGTAAACGTAACATCTTTTTTCCTGTAATTGTGTTTTTCGTTCAGCTTGTTTCTGGTGATGAGCTACTGTGAACAGGATCTGGCCAGCCTGCTGGAGAACATGCAGACGCCGTTCTCTGAGGCTCAGGTAGGACTTGACGTCACCACCACTAAGCTAAAGGAGGACTAGTTTTCTGGTGACGGCGTGTAGTTGTGTCATTGACATTCTCAGCGACCCCCTTTTTTAAGATGCGTACAAGCTTTTAAATTGACCAGAGGGGTATTTATGACCTATTTTACATCGTAGAACAAAATGGTAAAATCTCTTCAGCTTGTGTTAACAACAGAACTTATAACAAACATCGAACCAAAAACCCATTCAAAAAAAGCCTTTGACTTTGAGACGAGGGAACAGGAAGTGAGAAAACGCTGACTCATTTCCATGTTTTAGGACTCATTCCTGCAGCACGAGGGCACACTGAAATCCCCTTGTGTGCGTCCGGTTGTGTCGTCTGCATTAAGACATTTTTTTCCTCTGCTATCCTCTTCCAGGTGAAGTGTATCATCCTTCAGTTGCTCAGAGGCCTGGAGTATCTCCATCACAACTTTATCATACACAGGTCAGTCCCAGGCATTCGCCGGAAACCCCAAAACAAACTCTCCATCTTTTTTTATATAAATATACACAGGAAAGAAAGATCTGACCCAATAACAGGATCATAATACATTTTCTTTGCTGGTCAGCTAACTGTCTTGTTGTCAAAGTGTAAACCGAGCTCGAAAAACAAACTCGCCAAAATACAAGATTCGCTGCTGCAGAACACAGTTAAAGCTGTGGCTGAAAGAAGGTTCTGAAGCAGTTTCTGCACACGGCCCTACAAAGTACGACTAAGTGGAGGGCTGTGTTGTGCGCTGAGAAGCGCGGTACCCTCTGGGAGCCGATTCATTATCCTCTTTAATCTCGTTATCAGGGACCTGAAGGTGTCTAATCTGCTGATGACAGACAACGGCTGCGTTAAGATTGGTGAGTCATCGCTTATAACCATAACTACCTCTCACTATAATCCCATTATTCCTGCACATACATCCCAGACTATTGCCATAACTGACCTTTGACCTCGCTCTCTTTTTTGCTTTTTACAGTATTAGGTATCTTTTTCTTTTGCCATTTTGTGTAATACTTTCTAGTTTCACATGGTTTCTGTGTCATTTATCCCTTTATATTTAAAACTTGTCAGGGTTATGGGTTCGATCAGTTTGTAGGTGGTTTTTTGGTAAAAAGAGTTGTTGATCAGTTGATAGACTAAAATGAATCCAAACCAAAATTCGTAATTGATTGATTGGCATTTATTAAACAACCAGGCCAAATATTCTGTCTGGTGTAATTTTTCACTATTTTCTGACATTTGATCGACTCTGATTAATACAAAAATAATATATATATACTTCATCATTCTTTCAGTTATTTATTTTATGAATATATAAATATACAGTTGTGTGAAAAAGTGTTTGCCCCCTTCCTGATTTCTT